GTCCTTGTTCCTAGTAGTAAGGCCAGGAGCCCCTAGTTGCGTCCTTGCTCCTAGTAGTAAGGCCAGGAGCCCCAAGTCGCGTCCTTGTTCCTAGTAGTAAGGCCAGGAAGGCCAGGAGCCCCTAGTAGCGTCCCTGCCCCTAAAGTTAAAGCTGCTTCATTATTTATTCTATTTTACTACTTTTTGAGGCAAAGTTCGCTGTAGTCTCAAGTAGGAGCATATGATTTCTTGGTGGGGGGTTAGGCCGCAAAGTGAGCTTACTACTAAGTAAGCTACTATAAGTACCCTTTATGGGCGCCTGGACGCACTCTGAAGTCAGGCTTCTTCAAGAAAGTCCCCCACACTGCCCTCATGGCGGCAAAGGAGAGCTTCCTTGAAGAAGCCTGAGTCTGGATTCACTTTGTTTCCTAGTTTGTAAAAGGGGACACTTAACATTTGGACATTTCCTTGTTCATTTTTGTCTGACCTTTCTTCTAGAAACAATAATGTTTTTTAGAATCCACCGGGCCTTCTGCATTTCAGGGCTCATCTTCTTAAACTGCAAAGCTGACTTGTAGAGCGCCACAGCTGTGGCCTCGAGACACAAAGTAGCTTCTTGTTACTAGTAGCGATGGCCTCCACCCTACTAGCGATGTCCTCCAATGTAATAGCAATGGCCTGCACCTAGTAGCGTCCAGTAAGAGCTAGGTGGCTTTGGTATATTTCCTTCTTCTTTAAAGCCCGCCCTTACTTAACTTAGCAAGCGCGGCTAGTCACTGGTGACCAGCTGTGTCTTCGTCAAGGAAGGTTGACTTGACCGAATGAGCTAGTGAAAGTCAAGGCGTATCTTTCATGCCTTCACTTTCTTGATTCCTGTCAATGCCATCAGCTTGTCCATGGCTTCTGAGCAGCAGCCTGCAACCATGGGCATTTTTTGGTCATAGTGGCTGTGGTTTCTTCTGTTTTCTCTCTGATTATGCAGAAAACCCCTGCGCCTTTGGTCTCTTTGCTACTAATCTTAATTCTAAGGCAAATTTAAATAGTGTTGCAGTAGAAGGCCAGGAGCCCCGAGTAGCGATGCCCTTGCTCCTTCCTAGTAGCATCTCTCAGTTCTGGGCCTTTGGTCTCTTTCATTTCTTCCCACATCTCAGCCGGCTCCAATGCGCTGGCAGCGACGCCCTCCACTTGAGCCTAGGAATGACATGAAAGCCGCTCAGAAAAATTACTCAACTTTGTAACAAGCCGAACACATGAACTTGTAACATGCGTGCTCTTGAGATTCGACAACCCCACTTTGACACCATTGACCTGGGTCCTCCGCTGGGTCCCCCTGCCTTTTCCTCATGGTTCAGTAAGGCCTCTAAGGCTGGGTAGCGCTGTAGTGCTTCCAACATGTTTTGGCTCTTGGTGTTGCGGTACATTGCCAGGAGCAGCAAAGGATGAGCTTCTGGCCTTCGCAGGCCGGAAGCGGGTGGGGGAAAAACTGTTCACATGGTTTCTACCTCGCGCTGGCTTTGGTACAGGCCAAGTACTTCTCCAAGTACTCTTTGGACCTTCAGGCGCCACAAAGGAACACCGCAGAATTTGCGTTAAACTTCACAATGGCAATCATCTTGCCATTATTCATCCTGACACCTCCTCAACCTCACAGTGCACGTTTGGACCATCAACGGGTAATTCTGACGCTCACCTCTCAGAGTCGGTGTTGTAGAGCTCCAAAGCAAAAAGTAAATCCAGATGATTTGATGTGGCTCCTGGCATCGCTACTAGTAGCAAGGACGCTACTAGGAGCTCCTGGCCTTACTACTAAGAGCAAGGACGCTACTAGGGGCTCCTGGCCTTACTACTAAGAGCAAGGATGCTACTAGGGGCTCCTGGCCTTACTACTAGGAGCAAGGATGCTACTAGGGGCTCCTTTTGATGATGTTGTGCTTCCAGACACTTCAAGCGACTTCGCCAGTTGATCCAAAAGGTTCTTCCCAGCAAAGGGGGTGGCGGCTTTGTTGATGAAGGAAAGCTTCCTTGAACAATCCACGGTCATGACTAGTCTCCAGTGTCTGCACATGTCTTTGGCAACCTGAAAAAGCTTCCTCGCACTAGGAACAAGAAGCTACCAGGGGCTCCTGGCATCGCTACTAGGAGCAAGAATGCTACTAGGGGCTTCTGGGCGTACTACTATAGGAGCAAGTAGCTACAAGGAACAAGAACCTACTAGGGGCTCCCATCGGACGCGCCAGACGCCCACGAAAGCTTCAAGAGGCTGTTTGAGTTCCGAATCATGACGTTCTGTGAGATCGCCTTGCGGGCGCGTTCTCAACTGACTTGAATGTCTTTCCTAGTAGTACTAGTAGCGTCCTCTTGCTCCTAGTAGCGATGCCCTTTGCTCCTAGTAGCGAACATTGTTCCTAGTAGCGATGCCAGGAGCCCCTAGTAGCGTCCGATCGCTCCTAGTAGCGTCTTTCGCATCCCATCCTGAACCCTGCCTGAAATCAATGATCCACTCCATTCGGTTGGGAAGACCAACTCAGCTGCTGGCGTGTCTTGCAGCTCCTGCCAGAACTTCAAGGGCAAATCATGTTGAGAACATCCATGCTGGCGAAATGATCATTGCCGCCTCAAGGTGGAGATATCGGTCATCTGCTTCCCACGCTGGCTCAGGAGCCGCCTTTGTAGAAAGGAGTCTATTCTGAAACGTCGCCCACAATTCACACAAAGCTTTGAGTCTGGAATGTCTGGCGATATTCTTGATAAGAATAAGAAAGCTCATGTCCCACAACTTCCGTGCGTGGCCTATTTCTTCACACAGAAATTTGTTAGCGGTTGCCGTATCGCATGGCCGCATGCTCATGATGCCCACGGAACTGATCTGAGAACTGAGCTGAAGCTGGCTGCACTGGAAATGGTGGCTTTGCAAGAGTGATCTGCCTTGGCCAGAAACTCTTACCTAGTAGCGGCATTTCTCAAGAGTGAGGATCCCAATGAAGGGCGGTATGCCCTTAGCTACTAGTAACTAGTAGCTTTTTGTTACGATCGTAGTCATGGCCTCCAACCTTCTAGCGATGGCCTCCACCCTAGTAGCGATGGCCTCCTCCCATGTGCTGAGTGTCTGGCTTGAAAAACAAACACTCAGGAAACACAGTAAGAGTCTACATCCAACACAGGAACAATTCTCATGGAGGTCGAAAAATGAAAATCTTGCGGCATCCAATCTGTTTAAATCACATTGCTATAGCGCGCTCTTCAACGATGGACGAAAAGATTCAAAGGGCCCTGACAGAGGCACCAAGTCAACATTGCGCTGGCCCTCCAGTAGGGAAGCGGCCTGCGCGAACGGCTTGTCATCTTGGGATCATGAAGCTAAGCAAATTGAAACTTACTTGTTTCTTTCTTTAAGCCTTGTGGCATCTCAAAAAGACTTTTTCCAATCAGTCCAAGAGGCCCGAGCAAAACAATGAATGGCATCGCTATTAGGAGCAAGAAAGCAGCTACTAGTAGCTCCTGGCCTTACTACTAGGAGCAAGGATGCTACTAGTAACAAAGGGCATCGCTACTAGTAGAAAGGACGCTACTAGGGGCTCCTAATAGCATTCTTGGCGCGACGTGTTTCGGAGCGTCACCATCGATGCTTTACGGCCCCGCCTTCCTCAGGGATGCTTTCGAGAGCTTCAGGCCATGCGTCATGTAAATGGCAAACGGTGGCCATACGACCAAGCGACGTGGTGCTTTCGCGGCCTTTTCTTCGAAACAATCAAAACTCTGACGCCAACTTTGCACCAGGGCCTCCCAGCTCGGCGCGATCTTCCGACAAAGAACACCTTTTAAGAGAATGCACCCTTTTTGCAATTCTATTTGCTCCTAGTAGCCATACCAGGAGCCCCTAGTAGCGATGCTCTTTGCTCCTAGTAGCTTCAACTCCAATAGTGTCTGACCAACAGGCCCGGCCTTCTTTTTCTTTTGATTCTTTTGGTTCTTTTGGTTCGATTCATTCGGCCAGAACTCATGACAGCATCGGAGGGTGTAAAGATATCCGACCACCAACTGTGTCTCCTCTGCATCCTCCAATGCCTTCAAATTTCCATGTGTCAAACGGTGTACCTGGCTGGGCCGGCATCAAGCATGCAAACAAGGATTGCAAAGCGAACCATAGCAAATAGCTTTCTGTCATTATGCATCGTCTTTTCACACACATTTTCATGTCCAGAATTTGAAGGCTGACAAAGCTGTCGTACAAAGTGCCTGAATCCCATCCAAAGTGTCGGCCCTCACTTGTTTGCGCAAAGAGAATCCTCATCGCAGTTGCAGATTTGTAAGACAAAGGACGCTACTAGGAACAAATGGCATCGCTACTAGGAACAAGGACGCGACTAGGGGCTCCTGGCCTTACTACTAGGAACAAGGACGCTACTAGCTTCTGTTTGGAACCTGGGCTGAAAAGCTCTTATGACGTCTCCTTGGATGGACTGCTTCTGATTCTTCAAGCAGCAAAAGACAGGGATCAACTTGGGCTCGAAGAGTTGTCGATCCCAAAGCTTTTGATCCTTGCAACAAGGTTGGAGGCCATCGCAACTAGGAACAAAAAGCTGCTAGTAGGCCTTTGAAGCTACTAGTACCAAGAGGAATGTAGCAAGGGCGCTATTAGGTGGAGGCCATCGCTAGTAGGTTGCAACAAGCTTTCACATCGAGCAACATCGAGCTGCAGATCTCAGCAGGGCCGCTGGGCGGAAGTCTCTAGTAGCGTTCTTGTTCCTAGTAGTACGGCCCGGAGCCCCTAGTACCATTTGCGGAGGACACATGCTCAATCCCCAGGCGCAGCACTTGGCGGACAGGCGGGCCACTACCCCGCCCACCCCTGCAGTTGAGGGGATGAGCTAGGGCGTGTGATCTTGTTTCACGTGATGATATGCAACCGAAAGTGATTCTAGTTTCATGTAGAAAAATGCAACCCAATAGCGACCTACTATCGAAGGCCTCCAACCTACTAGCGATGGCCTCCAGCCTAAGAGCGATGGCCTGCTCCAACCTAATAGCAAACTATATTAAACCTTTTCCTTTTGTTTAGGGCCCGCTCCTACTTAATTAAGGAGGTAAGCTACTAGGAGAAGTGTGTTCTAGGAGGCAGGATTGCGCTCGCATTTCATCGCATTTCACCATTCAGGCCTCCTTTTCTTGGAATGCTTGGAGAAGCTCTAGCTGCGCTGATCGAAACTCTGTGGAAAATGATGCCGGATCGAAGTTGTGAACTTCCTGGCAGTCTCGCTCCGTGCCTCACTCTCTTTCTCTGTTTCCTTTGTAACTTTTCTTCTTTGAACCTTTAGACTTTTCTTTTTCCTGCCTTTCTTTCTTCCTTCCTTTCTTTCTTTCTCTCTGTCCCTCTCTCTCTCTCGCTCGCTCTGCTGCATGTCATTGTGGCTCGTGGAAGGTTTCTTTGGCTCTCATTTTCTTTAGTGGAAACTGGCATGTATGGTAGCGGCAGTGATTTCGCATTCTCTTCAGTCCTCTGCGAAGCACATCGACTTGCTAAAGAAAGGCACTTTGGTGGTGGTGGTCTCCAAAAAGCATGGGTTTAGCTCACAATCCAAAGGAACATCAGTTTGCAAAGCTCTTGTGATCTCCTGCCAAGGGAGCTAAGAGCACGGAAATAACGAATTGGCACATAAACATTCTCCTCCGAATTTCCAAGAAGCAACACAACCCAAGAGTAAGAACCCAATCGCCCTACACTTCGCCCAACCTGGATCTGTGCATTTGCGGTGTCTTGTTGGCAGCCCGGGCAAGCGCTGGGGGTCCCATCTTTACATAGTTTCAACTGATAGCTGTGACGATCTGCTGGACATCTCCATGTTGATTCCGTTCCGCAGCAAATCTTTGAAGTCGACGCGCATTGAACCATCAAGCGGCTCGACCCACATGTGGACGAGTTCCAGCATGGCCTGATCGCCTGCTTCGAGCGACGGGTCAGGACTTCTCACAAATGGTATGTTGCAAAGTATTTCTTTTAGGGGCTCCTGGCATCGCTACTAGGAGCAAGGACGCTACTAGGCGTTCTTGCAGAAAATAAGAAAGTAGTAAGAAGACTTCTAATAGCGATGCCAGGAGCCCCTAGTAGCTAGCGTCGTTGCTCCTAGTAGCGATGCCCTTTGCTACCAATGTACATCAATCTTGATGCTGACACACTAAGCTTGGCCTTTTCTGTGCATTTGATGTTGTCTTTGCCATCTTGATACTTCTGGTGCTCGTAACACTTGGCTTTTGCCATGTGGCCTGCACAGCGTACACGGAAGACTGGGCAAGGTCCAAAGAGTCTCCTTCCCTTCCTGCAAAATACGACAACTTAAGAGCAAGAAGGACGCTACGAATAGGGCTCCTGGCCTTACTGCCAGGAGCAAGAACGCTACTAGGAACAAAGGGCATTGCTACGAACCTAGCAAGGACGCCACTAGTTTCTTTGTTCCGTTTGGCTCCCTCTTCGCAGTCCTGACAAAACGCGATGCAAGAAGCACGGTTTCTGCAAACGAGCGGCCACATCTTAAAGGCTTTTCAACCTTCTCGTAGCACTGGCCTTTCACAGTCCCATCCTCCAAGGGAAGCATCAAGCGCAACAAGAAAGCAGAGTTCTGACAGCATCTCACCGCTCCTTCAATATCTTTGTCAATTCCTTGCAATCATAGTCAACGTGGTGGCCACAAGCACGAGTCACCTCTAGCAAATCACAAGGATGCGTCTTGACTACCCCGTTCTATCCGAAATTGTTATGGCACTTTGCCCTGTACGAACCAAAAACCACTAGCTAATGGGAGGGGGTTCCTCCATTTGTCCAAAAAGCACTAAAGGTATCGCGCTCTCGTGGCAAAGAAAACAGCACACATTAATTGAAAAAGTCGAAAAGGTGCAAAAGCAAACAATTGAGAACAAAAGGAACAATTGGAAGACACAATAATTAAAGCAAATGAACAACAACTCTGTAGAAAGAAATTCTGTTTGGCCAAACGAAGGGTAGCCAATTCCTTCAGGTGAGCCCAGCTCGTCGTGGCTGAGGAAACAAAAGGCGCGACTGTGGACGCTGCGGATGCGGTTTTACAAAAGCCTTTGAACAAAACATTTTTGTCTTTTGATAGCTACCAGTAACAAAGGGCATCGCTACTAGTAACAAGAAGCTACTAGTAGCTACTAGTATTTCTTTATTCTGAAACCTTTTGGAAGGGCTTGAGATGGACCAGTTGGCGGGCCAAATCTTTGTGGTTGCTGGCTTTGATACGAAATCAGGGTATGCTTCGAGGGGGAGGCCAATTGTAGCACCATCACTAGTAGGTTGGAGGCCATCGCGCTTAGCGCCGACACTTGGTTGAACGATTACCTAGTAGAGTCCTTGCTCCTAGTAGCGATGCCAGGAGCCCCTAGTAGCTTTTTGTTACTAGTAGTAAGGCACTTGTTACTAGAAGCGATGCACTTGTTCCTACTGCGTAAATGTGCGTGTAAGGGTTGCGACCTTGGAAACTGTAGGGACAGGGTGCCATCAGCTGAGCAACCTTTGCCTTTCACCGTCCCTGCTTGAGCGATGTTTTTCTTTTGGTAGCGGGTTGTAGAAGTATAGCGACCGAATCAAATGCAGCAAGCTGCGCAACCGTCACAGATGGCCCATGCATGGCTTTCAGTCACAATTTGCCATGAAGGAATATCAGCTCACGAATTGCAAGAGCTCATGTGTATGTGAGAATCACCGAGTACGTGTGAAGATGCTTGTATATGCAAACGAGCAAGCAATGAACATGAGCTCACATAGAATGTAAACATGATCACGTGCGGTTGGGGCTGTTTGTTTCAGATGAACCCATCACAATTCGCCAAACATAGGATTTGGCCCATTTGGCCTTCACAGCTTTCTTGCAAGTCTTTGCCACATTCAGCAATTCTTGAGGACTGCTGAGTTCTTGAGGCTTGGCGTGGGCAGGTAGCTCTGCGTGCTTTTGCAAATGCGCGACCACCTGTCCATCATGCCATCCAGAAGTCAACGACGACAAAGTCTTGCTGGCTTTCTTGGAAACGAGTGGCTTTTTGACAACTCAATAGTCAAGATCAAAGAAAAAGAACAAACAAAGGGTGGAGGCCATTACTACTAGTAGGAAGAAGCTACTAGGGTGGAGGCCATCGCTATTAGGTTGGAGGCCATTGCTTTTAGGGTGGAGGCCATCACGATTCGGGAACAAAAAGAACGTTTTGGAAATTCTCCTAAACCAACTCGGACCTCGGGTTCCCAGCATTGCCACCTTCTCATGTCATCCAGTTGATGACATGGAACAAAGACTTCGTGACCGCACATGGGACTGAATACAGCGCAGGTTTCTTTGCACAAAGGAAGGGGTGAAGTCTTCAAATGGCATTTCACGCGGATCTCATGCCCACACTTTCGCTTCACAAGAACCTCAGCTCTCATTACAAGCGGAATGTGTTTTTGTTTCGCGCGCGTGCGGGGGAGTAAGCCGCTGGAGGGAGATGTAGCTAGTAGCTTACTCAAGCTACTGGTAACTGGACACAGGATAGCGCTCGCACTAGTAGTAACAAGTAGCTACTAGGAACAAGTGCATCGCTACTAGGAGAAGGGCCTTACTAGTAGTAACAAGGTTCGCTACTAGGAACAAACAAGTGCATCGCTACTAGTAACGAGTGCCTAAACTAGTAACAAGAAGCTACTAGGAACAAGTGCCACGCTAGTAGTAAC